GTGTCCGTGGCTCCCGTCCCCGGGCCGAGTGTCCGTGGCTCCCGTCCCCAGGCCATGTGTCCATGGTTCCTGTGTTCACCCACAACTGCACGTGCCATCCCTGCAGACACAGCCTGTGGTGCTTGTGCTCCTGGGGCCCAGAAAAGGGAGCTGAGCATGTTAGTGCTCACGCGGGAGGGAGAAGGGAGGACAGGCGGGCATTTGCACAGACAGGACAGCAGACAGAGAAAGCCTGAGGTGACGCTGAGAAAACCAAGAAGCCCCAGCGGTCAGAGCTGGGGCCCCGCTGCGGCCACAGGGGAGCTACAAATGTGTCCGGTGAAACCCTTCTCTTACCTCTGGGCTCTGCTGGGGGTCAAGGGTTTGAAAGAAAATTGCCTCTCTTGGCTGGCTGCAGCCACGGCCGCGTGTCCACCCGCGTCCTGCGTCCCGATGGTCCCGGGCCGGGAGGGGGGCGAGCGGCGGCCGCTGCACCTCAGCAGTCCCAGGAGGTAACAAAAACGAGGGTGTGTAGTCTGTTTGCTGGGAAGGTCTCCAGGCTTAATACCCGGCGAGGAGGAACACCCGGAAGGCGCCACAGAAGAATTATTTGCATCCTCGCAGAAGAACTTGGTCCTCAGAACCTGAGAGCAGCTTGCAAATGTCAGGGCAGGAGGTCCCGGGGACACCTCATAGCGGGCAAGGAAACCCTGAGGACACGGAACCCGCACCTTCCAGGACGCTGGGTGCAAAAGGGGAGGGGAGATCCAGCCATGTGTGCGTGTGTGTGCGAGCGTGCGTGGTGCGTGCGGAGAAACTATACAAGGCAGTGGAGTTCAAACCTGTCCCTGAGTTCTTCCCCTGGGGCCTCTCAAGGACCCTGTTCCTTCCCTGCCAGTCGTTACCACGCTTTTTAATTGTGGACTAAGAGGGTGTCACTTTTTCAGGTGTGTCTGATTCCCCGGGCACGCGAGCCACGTGAGGGCAGGGCAGGGTCCGCCCAGAGCAGGGCCCGGCCCATGGCACGTGGAGGTGTTGAAGTGACGCGGGGCGGGAGCAGGGGACCAGCCTGAAGCTGAAGGTCCTCTCTCCTTGTTGGGGTGTCTTCCTCTCCTGGGGTGATGCTTTCTCCGCTGGAGTCTGGACGTGATTCTCTCCCGTTCGATGCTTTGGGAATAAACTTCCGAGGTGTTTGCGATTCAAACCCACACATGGTGACTTTTCTCCGGTTTCAAGTTCATTTGAGATTAGGCAAATACCTCCTCCTTGGGGAAGATTCTGCCAGAATCCTTCATTTCATCCGGCCTTTCCTAAGGACGCGAGCCCGCCTTCCACGCACAAGTCCCTGGGTGAAAACAATCGCCCGGCACCATAAGTTATTTTAATGTAGACGTCACTTTAAACTAACCTTTCACCATCTGTTCTGTCCTTTAATAACAAATGCAAAAGAGCCTAATTCTCCGTGGCGTCGTAAAAGTGAGGTGGTGATAGAAACGCCTGTCTGTGTTCTTTATTCATGGCCCTATCGTATGCTGCCGTGATGTTTTCCTCATTTTCCAGACACAAATCAAGGGGAAACTGCTCTCCCCTGATCTGGTGAATTCATTTGTACAGTATTTCTTCTTAATGTGGTAAACTGTGCGGAGCATCCCCGAGCCGGCACTGAGTCCCGGGCGCGCACACAGAGCGGCAGCTGGGGAATTAAGCAAAGGCACCCAGTGGTCAAACTGTAATGAGATTCCTTTGCAAAAAATAAAACCTCTTTAAATATGTGGTGGGTTCTTTTCAGTGGTTTTATAATTAAATTTCCCCATGAAGGATGGGCAGTCTGGCCCAGAGAACGCGGTAGAAGCGTGCCAGGCCGTCCGCTGTGCTCGCCGGCCGGCTGCCGGAGCCCCCACCTCTGGAGGACTGCCTGGCCCGAACCCAGCGACCCCTCCATCCAGCGCAGCTCAGCCGCTTCTCTAGGGCCCTCTGTGTGCTCAAGTGCCGAACTCAGAACTTTCTAGAACTTTCCGGGCTCCCAGAAGACAGAACTTGTGCTTCATAAGCAGCCAGCCTGGGGCTTTCTACACTAATCACACAGTTCCCCAACGGGGTCTGATCTGCTCTAACGGGTTCCCCACATGCGGACAAACAGCGCAGGTGCAGATGGCCAGAGGGGTCTTCCTCTCTGGGACCCAGACTGGCAACTGCCGCCCCATTTCCCTGGCGACGGCACCTTGGCGCAAACTCCCTCGGGGGAGAAGAGGTGGCTCACGGCCACGGAGGGCCAGGGCCGCTGTCCTGTGAAAGGAGCCCTGGGGAAGGAGCCAGGTGGCCAGGAAGGCGTCCGTCCTCTGTCCTCTGTCCTCCGTACAGGCTCATCTCCCTGGACACGGCTGTGCACTGGGCTGCTCGCACACGGCTGTCCTGGCTGAAGGACGTTACTCGGTGGGCAGCAGAGGGCCCATGATGAACACAGGGTACACACGTGTCCTGGGGCGCCCAGCGCTGTGAGCGATGAGCGGGCAGAAGGCGGCAGGCCCGGGACCCAATGTGTTCATCCCTGGAGGGAGGCAGGGGTGGCTGTGGCCAAGATGAGCACAGCAGAGCTCCGACACCCCCACGGCCCAAGGGACGGCACAGGGTGACATGCATCCCCAGCCCTGGCCCCGGCCATTCTTTCCGTGGCCTGGCCTGAGCCCTGCCGGGTGTGTGCTGCTCAGGGCAGAGCCAGGAGGTGGGAGATGGAAACAAAGACAGTCCTCGTAG